TTTTTCGTGGTTCTCCAGATCATATAGAGACCAGGCAAAAATGTTCCTTTTTAAGGTCTTGGAGACCAAGCTTTTTCCAGTTTTGTAAAAGATAACCTGGGGGCAAATCTCAAGATGTAAAGAGAGATTGGCCTATCCTTTTTGCCTATAAGCTTGTAGATAGAACGGAAAACCAATAAGCACCTGTAGTCACTCTTCTCAGCCAGTGTCCTGGACAGGGAGAAAATATGCATGTGTTCCCAAAACTAGGCATCCCTGGTCAAGAGGGAATTCTACCACAACCTGTTGCAGGCTCCACCCAGAGTCCCAAGAAGCCTTTCCTCTGGGCTTGGGGGATGACCCAACTACAGGGTGAGGGAAGAGGGAATCCCAAGACTTCAGACAGGCCCCACGTTGGGTGCCATAAATGTTGAGGTCTGAGAGATTTCAACCCATCAAGGACCAGAGTATAGGACAGGGTCATCTGGAATGAATTCACAGACTCAAGCATTCTTTTAGTCAAGGTGGCAAAGATTTATTGTCATGCATACAGTGGGCAGAAGTCCTTAAGGAATTCTGCCGTGGCGGGCAGACCTCCTTAGGGAAACTGCAACTTAACAGGAATGATGCTAAAGTTTATATAGGAAAAGTAGTGGATTATGTGCCAAATATGGTAATTAGGTGATAACACATAACTATGTCATTCACTACTGGAATTGGGGGTGGGGGTGGGAGAAGAGGGTTCCTAAAGTGTATATTTTTGGTCTGTTAGGTCTGAAACAAGAAAGTTTTGGGAGTTGACATCTATAGCTTGACCTCTGGATTGTATATGTAACTGTGGGCATCAGTACTTGATAGTTCTGTTGATAGAAGATAGTCCTGTTCATACAAGGGAAATTCTACAGTGGTCAGCTTGTTCTTGTAATAGGGAGAGATAGTTTGCCTCACTGGGCCTACTCATAAGTCATTGCCAGAGATAGGGTCTTTGGGCTGGAGGGTAACTGTCAAGGATAGTGTTTCTGAGGCCAGAGAGAAATTGGAGTCCAAGCACAGGCACCCAAGCACTCTATCAGGATCATAATTTCAATGGACACTTCGTTGTATCTCTTGTCTTACTGTATTTACAACCTGTCCAACTAAGAAGCTTCCTTTTTCATACTATTGTTAAAACATATGGAGACTACATTTTCACAGAGACACAGACATCCTGAGTCAGTTCGCTCTAACTGTATAAAAGCTTTCCTCATTCTGCTTAATCTGAGTCAGAGTTATGATCTGGCTCCCATGTATACGTGATTCTCTAGCTTAAAGGAATAAACAATATAATTGTATATCACCTGGCTCATTTGCCCCCTTTAACCAAACTTTCAGGTGGACAGTGTGGTGCCGGTGACTTCAGATGGAACTGAAGGAGTAGGAGGAAACACCACCTGACCCCAGCAAAGCTAGTGGCTTAGGCGCCTCAGGATCCGTTTTTTCCTGGAGTCCTGACTTTGACAGGGTAGGGTAAGTTCCCCTGTTCCCAGCTTCCACAGTCGAAGTCTGAAAACTTTCCTTTAAGCTAGCTCTGGGGTGGGGGATCAAGTTGAGGTTCAATCTTTCTGCATCACTTGGATCCCCTCTGGTAGGGATCAGTCTAGAGAAATTGGCTATGGGTCAATCAGAAACTAAAATTATAAATCCAACCAAGATGGCCATCTCTTCTATGTCAAGCCATTACCAATCTGATGATCACAAGTACTGGCAGCGCTGGTGTCAGTTAACTAAAGATAGCCCCAAATTACATTGGCCACGATGCGGCTCTTTTGACAGGTCAAAGTTGCTTTATGTTAAAACCAAATTAAGTTTAGAGGCCAGCAAAACATCTAGCCAGGAGGGGAAATGTTTTCTTCATTGGTTTGCTGGATTGATAGAGTAAGAATGAGAGGCAGAGACTTCCCTTAAGGCTCACAAAGCTGCTTCAGCAGCTTTCTCCAGCACTGGCTAATTCCCTGCACCCTAGCCTGTCCTTCCCTTCCAGCCATAGCTCCTCCTCTCCTCCCTCCGCCCTATTCCTCATCTCCCCCCTCCCTCCTTTTCCTTGAAGGTCACCATCAAAAGACTAAATATAGGGGGCAGCTAGGTGGCAGCTAGGTGGCGCAGTGGATAGAGCACCGGCCCTGGATTCAGGAGGACCTGAGTTCAAATTCGGCCTCAGACACGTAACACTCACTAGCTGTGTGACTCTGGGCAAGTCACTTAACCCCATTGCCTAGCCAAAACAAAACAAAAGACTAAATGTACTAAATCCTGCTGAGTTTTTAGAGACTATCCCTAGCCTTGAGACAGATCAGCTTGTGAGTGATCATGAGTCCAACCCCACCGACAGTGACTGCATCACAATCCTGGACAGCCTGCTGACTCCAAGAGATGCCGACCTCACAGTTTTCACAGACCCTTCCTGCCAGAGAGACCCCTAGGGACAAGTGGTAGCAGGTTACCGCATCATCAGGGTAACTGAGTATTGGAGTCGGCCCCCTCCCTCCTCTGCACAACACTTGAATCAGTGTCAGGGGCCTGTGAACTGGGAAGGGGGCTGAAGATTAACATCTACACAGACAGCAGATATGCTTTTGGGGAATGTCTACTACTCCCCTATTATCAAAACTGCTGGCCACTCCCAAGGACTGCTTGGAAAATTAACCTTGGATTTCCAAGTACCATGGGTCAAGGTGCCACCCACTGCCCACCTTGCTCTCCAGTCCCAGCCTGGGGGCAAGACTAAACTCCCCCCCCATGAGATTGTCACTGGAAGACCAATGACCCTCACCCCAGCTGGTCTCTCCCCACTCACTTCTCATTGTCTTCAAGAATGTTGTGTTAACAGTAACAGCCACGTTGTGCCATGACTAACGTTGATAGACTTAGCCCTTCTCGGTAAAGCAAGGATCTAAGACATCTCCAAAGGTCTCATGATGGAAAATGCTATCCACATCCAAAGAAAGAACTATGGAGTTGGAATGCAGATTGAAGCATACTATTTGCTGTTTTTTTCTTCTTCTATTTTGTTTTGTTTCCTCTTTTGTGTGTTTCCCCCTATTGGTTCTAATTCTTCCTTACAACATCACTAATGTGAAAATATATTTAATTTGGGGCAGCTAGCTGGAGCAGTGGGTAGAGCACCAGCCCTGAAGTCAAGAGGACCTGAGTTCAAATCTGGCCTCAGACCGATCCTGGGCAAGTCATTTAACTCCAACTGCCTAATTAAAAAAAAAAAAGAAAGAAAACAAAAAAAAATAGGTTTAATAGGATGTATATGTATAGCCTATATCAGATTGCTCGCCATCTTGGGGAGGGGGAGAAAAATTTTAAACTCAAAAGCTTATGGAAGTGATTGTTGATAAATCAAAATAAATTAATTAAATAATAATAAAAAAAGAATATTGTATTAAACTTACTCAGCAAATTCATCTAGTTCAAGACCTTGTCTCTCAGTCTCACGACTTAGGTCCATCGCCTGAGGCCAACACTCTTATCTGTCCGGGGGACTGGGAATATTGGAAGCACAACTCCTTAGAACCACGGCGCAAGGGACCCTTTCAGGTACTGCTCAGACCTCTACGCTGCCAAACTCCAAGGAATAGATTCATCTGTCACAATCAAAGATTGCTCCCACTCCCAGCGGACATCTGAGCCAATAGGAGACCTTGCCCTCCGGTTCCGAAAAAGAGGACATCAGCTGTAGACAGCTTTTCCAAGAGTCTGGACCCGGTCTGCACGGAGTAAAGCTCCCTCCCCGCCTGAGCCCCTTACATACCCAAGCCCGGTTACACATGGATTTTGGTAGTTTTAGCTTACTTAGTTGCTCTATACTGGCATTAGGCTTCTCACTCTCCCCACCTTGACCCCCCTCGCAGCCTGCTCCTTCTGTTTGTTTGCAATCGTCTTGCAGTGGCTGCCCATCTCTGGGGATGTCCAACCACAGGGGAAGAGTGACCCCTTCTCCCATCTCCGCACCCACCCCATGCAGAAGCTGGGCCAGGAGGTAGTCGGGCTATTTCACTTGTCCAACTGCGGGTTGTGCATTGACCCTCTAGGACGCACTTCAGTACAACCTATCTCTGCCTCTCACTGGGGGTCAATTGAGTTAATCGCCGGGTTCACTCCACTGAGGGTCTAAGATTCTCCGAAAAAGGAAGCTCTGAAAAACTGTATGTGATTCTCAAGGCGGACCAGGCTCAGTCTGACAAAGAATTCGACCATCTCTTCAGTGCCCCGTACTTTAGGAAAAGGTTGGGAAAGACAGGAACCCGCTTAGATTTGGATAACTCTGCGGGCCCTTTTCTGCCTCCACAGCCCCTCCCGCTGCTTTCTGCTACTTATCTAATCACTCCTCTGGAACTCCTGCGAGGAACCTGGACCCAGGCCAACTGTGTAATTACACAATGTGGATTCGCCCTAGTGGCTATCCTCAACTACAAGATAGGAGTCGAATTCCATCCCTACATCTCTGCCCTCTCCTAGGATCCTGGGGACCACTACGATCCAATGTGACTCTGACTCTTACTGCGCAGGATAGCCTGCCGGAGTTGGTACTGATCCCCGCGGTAGCGATTTCTTATCAATGCCACTTTCTCTCCCGGGTCCTGTCTAACTCTGGCCCGATTAAACAGGAAGTGAAACAATTTACTGGGATCACTATCGGGGATATTTGTGGGTAGAAAAAGGATATGGCCCCACCTCCAATCGGATGACCAACAACCCTCGCCTGGACCCTTCCGTGGGTCTACTTCTCAGTCCTAGCTCCCGTACAACAGTCCCCCAGCCCAGGCAGGGCTACTATACTTATAAAGGAGCCAGGTTACTGTCCACCATTTCTCAGGTTCCCTTATATCTTCCCTTACTCTACCAGCGTCCCTGGGAATGTTCTTCCTGTGTGGCATGTCCCTTTTATCAAACCCTTGCTCCCCCGTGGACAGGGCTATGCACCGTGGTCCGGGCTGTGCCAGACCTCCGGTATATTCCAGGCACTACCCCAATACCTAGAACACTTCCAGATCTGGCTGTTACTGAATACGGCTCTCCTCTCGGCTTCCGAAGTGCGATCCGCGTCCTGCCTACCCCTCATCGTGGAAAGCAGCATCTTGGCAGCTACAGCGGCGGGAGTAGGGGGGCTTATGACTGCAAATGAGGTTTGCAGGGATGTATCCGGACAGATGGCTGACATGAATGACTAAAGTGGTGGGAGATTTGCAGAGTGAACTTTGCTCCCTCGCTGGAATGGTGTTGCAAAACCGAAAGGCGCCTGATGCACTCTTTGCATCCCCGGAGTATCTGTGTCTTCCTCCAGGAGGAATGCTGTTTTTATGTTAACAAATCCCAATAGATACAGGACAGCATAAATGTGTCTGGCTCTCAAGCCACCCAGATAAGGGAACAAGCTGCAGCCGCCCAGTGTTGTAGGCTTAGCTCCTTTTCCCCAGAGGTGGGCAGCTTACTCAGATCCCTCCTCCTTTCTGCCGCTAGAGTGCTGGCTATTCTTGCTCTTATCCTACTAGAGGTCCCACTAGGGTTGACTTTGAGCCACGGATGTTCCACCAGCGTGGTAAATACAATAATGCTGCCCGTGGTTGTTTCCCCTTTTTCTTCAGGGCTCAGTCCAGACAGAGATTAGTGCATCTGCTTGGTCAACAAAAGGACTGATTACTAGAACTACCCTTCTCATTCCCTGAAGAACAAGTTTTTTTCATACCTTCCTTGGTTTACAGGCAGCGCCTTCGGCTTACTTTTGACCAAAAGGAGGAATTGATAATCATTTAAGATCAACTGAGCACCGATAAGCCTCAGCACCTGAATTAATCTTTTCTGAGTGAACTAAAAATGCCTCTTCCTGTGTCAGCAACCATAGGACCCATAAGGCTGACCAAGAGCATTCTTCCTGTTTGTGATCACTAAGGACAGGATGCCTAGGACCAGACATTACCTTGAATAGTGGGACTTTTTTTTTTATCTTGATATCCTACGGACTTATGCTAGGTAGGGGAGAAACAGACATCCTGGGATCATAATTTCAATGGACAATTTGTTATTTCTCGTCTCACTGTATTTACAACCTATTCAACTAAGAAACTTCCTTTTTCATACTATTGTTAAAAAAAATATGGAGACTATATTTTCTGGAGTGACACAGTCATCCTGAGTCCATTCGCTCTAACTATATAAAAGCTTTCCTCATTCTGCTTAATCTGAGTCAGAATTATGCTCTAGCTCCATTCACTAGCTTAAGGGAATAAACAATATAATTATATATCTCCTAGCTTGTTTGTCTCCTTTAACCAAACTTTCAGGCCAACACCAGCAGCCACCATTTAGGAGAACCTCTATGAGTGAGCCCAAATTTGCCCAAGGATGCTTTTTTAACAAACCCGTGATCAAAGAGCCAGGAACTCAACTTTAAAAAGACAGGAACTGAGGAAATTCAAGACCCTCTGCCAGGCTGACCTACCCAGTCAAATTCAGACTGGAACTCCAGGGGTCTCCGCTGGTACTGAGCATCTGGGAGTGTGTGAATACCACTTGACGCAGGAGTTAAAGAAAACTAACAAAGTGGCAACAACAAAGGATCTTTAATGAAGGTTTGAAAACGGGGTCACCAATGAACACTGGGGTGGGAGGGCTACTCACAAGGGACCAGGACACCAGGTTCAAATACATTTCAGCATGGAGAGTCACAACGAAGGCAAAGCCTCAGGAAGCAGTCACTTAAGGGGTTTTGCCTAACAACAGAAAGTCCACAGAGAAGGCTAAGGAGGCTAGGGAGGGACAGCAACCAGGAGGGTTAAGGGGTTTCACAAACTAGCCAGAGGCTAGGGAAGCCACAACAACACAATACAAGTATAGGCAGCTTCTTTTTTCTCTAGGTTTAAAAAAAAAAAACACGTGGTTTTGATTGCACCCAGGCAGATCAGCTTGCAACCAGCTGCAATCAACAATGATTACATTAGTTGTTCTGAAGATCTGGGGTTCTGGGTGGACCACAAGTTCCATATGAGCCAGCAGTGTGATGTAGGAGCTAAGGAAAAAAAAAAAAGCTAATACAATCTTAAGCTGCATTAAGAAGAATATAACTCAGAAGGATAGGATAATGATCATCCCACTGTACTCTGCCATTTTAAGACCTCATGGGATATACTGTATTCAGTCCATGGCATCGTGATTTAAAGACACTGATCAGTTGGACAGCGGTGAAGGGCCCTGAGTCAATGTCAGTTGAAGGCAATGAGCATGTTTGAGCACATTTAGTCTGGAGAAGAGAAAGGAAGGGACCGATTACTGTCTTTAAGCCTTTAAGCAAGAGGGATCAGATTCATTCTGTTTGGCCCCAGGGCAAATGGGTGGAAGCTTCATGGAGGCAAATCTAATTGGGGGAAAACTTATGAACAATTAGAGCTATCTAAAAGCAGAATGAAATACCTAAAGAACTAGGGGTTTTTTTTTGTTTTTTGTTTTGTTTTGTTTTGTTTTTTGCTTTTAGGTAATTGGGGTTAAGTGACTTGCCCAGGGTCACACAGCTAGTAAATGTCAAGTGTTTGGTCTGAGTCCAGATTTGAACTCAGGTCCTCGTGACTTCAGGGCCAGTGCTCTATCCACTGCACCACCTAGCTGCCCCTAAATGCCTAAAGAATTGGCAGAGTCCTCCTCCATGGAAGTGTTCTAGTCAGAGAACAGGTAATCACTTTGTCAGGTATGTCAGAGCGGAATTTTTCTCTATGTGGGATGAACTAGATTGCAACTGAAACTTTCAAAATGCTGTGGCTATGTGAAGGTTTTACACAGTTGTGAAATTCAAATGGTTTCTTTGATCCAGCATGAGTTTTCTTACAGTACGTCATCGTTTAAGGCAGGTAAAGGATTCTCTACATCCATTGTTCAAGAGGTATTTCTTCAGAATGAATTCTCTGATGCATCGTGTTACAAGAACTATAGCCAAAGGTTTCTATCACTCATTGCCTTCAAAGGGTTACTTTGCCCCAGTATCAATTAATTCTCTTTATGTTCAGTAAGTTGTCTGCTCCAGGAAAGGAAATGTCACCTTTATGACATTTGAAATTTCCCTCTCCAGTATGAACTCTTTTGTGCTAAGTTGTCCACTCTGAGAGAAGGATCTGTCACATTAAGTATATTTAAAACGATTCAGTATGCTGAGTTCCCCATGTAGAATTAAATTGGAGATTTTTCCATTGAATGCATACATTAAAGATTTCTTTGCTATAATATGAATACCCTTATGTTCAGAAAGCTTATGCCAGGTAAAAGATTTTCTGTATTTGTCACATTCACAAGTTTTCTATTTAGTATGGATTTTTTCATGTCGGGTAAGTTGAGAACTCTGCCTGAAGGATTTCCCACATCGACGACATTCAAATGGTTTCTCTCCAGAATGAATTCTCTTGTGTTCAGTAAGCTGTCCCTTCCAGGTAAAGGATTCCCCACATTCATTACATTGAAAAGGCTTCTCTCCAGTGTGGATTCTCTTATGTAGAGTAAGGGATTGGTTCCAGCTAAATGATTTCCCACAATCACTACACACAAAGGGTCTCTCTCCAGTATGACTTTTCTGATGTACAGTGAGGTAAAAACAGCAGCTAAAGGCTTTGCCACAATCCTGACAGTGAAAGGGTTTCTCTCCAGTATGAATTCTCTTATGTGTGAGAAGCTGGCCACTATGGCTAAAGGATTTCCCACAATCTTGACATTCGAAGAGTTTCTCTCCTGTATGCACTCTCTTATGTTTAGCAAGGGATCCACTCCAGCTAAAGGATTTCCCACATTCAAGACATTTAAAGGGTTTTTCTCCAGCATGTATATTCTTATGTCCACTAAGAATCCAACTATGGCTGAAGGATTTTCCACATTCTTGACATTCAAAGGGTTTTTCTCCAGTATGAACTCTCTTATGCAGAGTAAGCTGCCCACTACGGCAGAAGGTTTTTCCACATTCATTGCATTCAAAAGGTTTCTCTCCAGTGTGAGTTCTCTGGTGCTCAGCAAGGGACCTGCTCTGGGTAAAGAATTTGTGACATTTATGACATTCAAAGGGTTTCTCTCCAGTATGAATTCTCTGATGCACAGTAAGGTTAGAACTTCGGCTAAATGCTTTCCCACATACATTACATTCAAAGGGTTTCTCTCCAGTATGAGTTTTCATGTGTGTACTAAGCTGCCCTTTCTGGCTGAAAGATTTCTCACATTGTTGACATTTAAAGGGTTTCTCTCCAGTATGAATTCTTTGATGTACAGTAAGGTGAGAGCTTCGTTGGAAAGTTCTTCCACATTCATTACATTCAAAACATTTCTTTCCAGTATGAGTTTCCTTATGTTTAATAAGTTGCTCAGTACTGCTAAAGGATTTTCGACATTCATGGCATTCAAAGGATTTTGGTCCAGTGTGAACTCTCTGATGTACAGTAAGGTTAGAGCTTCGGCTAAATGCTTTTCCACATTGACCACATTCAAAGGATTTCTTAGCAGTATGAATTCTTTTATGTGAATTAAGTTGCTTTCTCTGGCTGAAGGATTTCTTACATTCATGACATTCAAAGGGTTTCTCTTCAGAAGGAATTTTCTCAGGTTGAGTAAGTTGAGAAATTTGGCTGATGGCACTCTCACACTGATTATTTTCAACAGATTTCTCTCCAGCATGAATTTTCTTGTGTTCAATAAGCTGCTCACTGAGGCTGAAGAATTCCCCACACTGATTACATTCAAAAGGTTTCTCTCCAGTATGAATCGCCTGGTGTACAGTTAGGTGAGAACTTTGCCTGAAGGCTTTCTCACATTGATCACATTCAAAGGGTTGCTCTCCAGTATGAATTCTCTCATGTACATTAAGAGAGCTCTTCCACTTCAACGATTTCCCACACTGATTACATTCAAAGGATTTCTCTCCCGTATGAATTCTCTGATGACTATCATGGGATTTTTTATTGGTGAAGAATTTCCCACACTCATTACATTCATATCCTTTTTCTTCACTATGCTCTTCATTAGAGTAAATAAAATCTGAAGGGCAACTGAATAAATTGGAGCACATATTAAAATTAAAAAGGTTATTCTCACCAAAGATGTTCCCTATGTCTAAATACTGGTCTAAGTTCATTCCATATATACCACACTCTTGAAGACTTTGACTAGTATGAACCCCCTCTTGTGGCACAAGGATTGACTCCAGACTGAAACAACTTCCTAACATAGATTCAGTAGAAATTTCGCTGGTCACACTTGTCTCTTGACTGGCTTGTCTGTCCTGATCGGAATTCTTTTGTTCTACTCTGACATCCTCCTGTTCACAGGCTTCTCCCAATTCATATTCCCAGGAACCACCTGTCTCAGCTCCCTCCTTAGATGACTCTTCTGGAGAAAAAGATGGATTTTCAGTTGACTCTGCTGTTGCATACCTGGCCATCTGACTAAGGAACTCTGAAAGAAAGGGAAAAAAGTATCAATTTCCAATGTACTTTGTCCTGAGTGAGAGGACTCTGCTTTACGATGCAAATTCTAGATCTTGTTTTCCCTCCTAAAGAAAATGGTCAAAAATTTGGAAAGGACAGAATAAATATTTTAAGGTGCAACTCAATATTATCCAAAATATGTTAAATTAACAAAAAAAAACCCAAGTATCTCCTTGTTTTAAATATGTTTAAGTAACTAGGACTAAATGAATTACCTCTCTAGAGGTAATTCAAAGTACCTCTAGATGACAGAGAAACTTTATTAACAGATCTTAATAAAAATTATTAAATTAACAAAAGTTTAGTTCTGACTGATTCCCAAAGGAATCATTTGTGATCTGTAAGGATTGGAATCATGAAGAGATATGATATCCGTAATGGCAAATTCTTAGCCCCTAAAAGCTAGTATGGAAAATTTAAGAAAGCCAGAACTTCAGAATGCATGAGTTTGAGCTGAGAGTGTGTCTGGATTCCTAACACACAACAACAGGTTAAAATCTTTCAAGATATCCATTTAGACATGATGAAGAAGTATCAGTAAGAATGGGTTATGATAGATGGATTTGTAGCCACATCAAACAACACCTCATCCAATCTTGTCTAATGTCAACATGATTGGAGGTTTCCTATTTCAGGTCTCTGTATTTGGCCTTTTCAACATTTTGACAATTTCCATGACAACAAGTTGATCACAATCTCCACATAAGGTTTGTAGCCTTACGTTATGGCCACTAAAACCTTAGCAGCTCGTCTATTGTTCAGCTCTCAGGAAGTAACTGTGTCACTGCAAGCTCTACTAGTCAAACCACATTTGGATTTTTGAATCCAGGTTTAAGAACCACATTAAAAAGGGACACTGTTAAACTACAGTCTATTCAGAGGAATTATACTAGTCAGTCAGTCAGTCAATAAACATTTTTTAAGTGCTTACTTAATTCCAGGCACCATTAAGCACTGGGGAATCAAAGTAATGCAAAAATATTCCCCAACCACAGGAGCCTTACCTTCTCATGGGGAAGATAACAAATAAATAGGCAGGTGGAAGGATTGAAGGTTACCTTAGAAAGCAAAACCTTAATAGCTGGGGAGGCTGAGGGGAAGGGAGGGAATCAGAAAAGCCTGGTACAGAAGGTAAAACTTGAGCTGACACTTGAAGGAAGCCAGGGAAGCCAGGAGACAGGAGAGAGAGAGAGAGAGAGAGAGAGAGAGAGAGAGAGAGAGAGAGAGAGAGAGAGAGAGAGAAAGAGAACTCCAGGTATGAGAGATAGCAAGTGAAAAGACAGTGAATATAGGAGAAGGAGTGCCATGTTCAAGGAAAAGCAAATAGGGCAGGATGACTTGATTTTAGAGTACAGAAAAGGAGCAGAGCATAAGAAAGACTGAAAAGATGAGAAGGGGTCAGGTTGAGAAGAGCTCTAAATGCCAGAGGACTTTATATTTGATTCTGGAAGTAACAGGGAGCCACTGGAGTTTATTCATTGGGGGCTGTGGAGAAAGAGGTGACACAATCAGATAGATCTGTGCTTTAGGTAGATCACTGTGGCAGCTGTGTGAAGGACTGATTGCAGTGGGGACACATAGGAGGCAGGGAAGCCAATTAAAAGCTCATTACAACTGTCTCCTCAAGTGTTTCATGAAGGCCTGAACTAGAGTGGTGGCTGTGAGTGGAGACAAGAGGACATAGAGGAGAGATGTTGTGGAGCTAGATAGAAATGACAGACTTCACAACAGACTGGATATTTAGGGTGAGTGTGTGGAGTGGAGGATGACATCAAAGCTGAAAACCTGGGTGGCTGGGAGGATGAATGCACACTGCACAGAAGAGGGAAGGAGTCTGGGGAAATTTAACGAGTTCTGTTTTAGATATGTTGAGTCTGAGATGCCTAAGGGACCTCCAGTACAAAATGCCCAAGAAGTTGGTGATATGGGACTGAAGCTCAGGAGAAAGACTAGGGCTGGATAAAAAGATATGAAATTCATCTGTATAGAAATGATCATTTAAGCCCATTAGAATTGATGGTTGAGATTCAGGGGTCTGGGGGGTGCTGGGACCCCAAAATCACAACAAGCAGGTCCTGTCCAAAAGAATTCAACCCAAACCTTCCTTCAGCCAAAGACAAGGTTTATTAAAGATCCACCATATTGGCCAGACTCTTAAGGAGTCTGAACATTAGTGAGCTATTGGCTAGGTTCTTAAGGAATCTGAGCACTGGCTAGATGTTAAGAATCTGAGCACCTTAATGGAGACAAGATGGACCTTATATACAGAAAGACTGTGGGAGGGATCTGGGAGTGGCCAAGTAGTCTGCCTGGAGGTAACAGAATGCCTGGGACCTGGGCCATGTAGCCAAGGGAGAATGGAGCCTAGGTAGGATTAAGGGTGGGAAGTGACCAGGGGACTTAGGGAGGTAAGACAATGTAGGGCTAGGCTAGGTTAAGGGTAACAGAGAACTGGGAATTGGGAGATTGGGTTTAGCCACAATGAAAGGCCAGTTGATAGGATTATAGCCACAGGTGAATGCCAGCAATTTGGCCATGTGGGAAAATCCAGGGTTTCTCCTTTTTGGGGTCCACATCCCAAACCCATCGTGATGAGATCACCAAGTGAGAGTATATAGTGCAAAGAGGGTCCAAGACAGACCTCTGGGGTATGTTCATGGTTGTTGTTGTTTTGTCCTTCATTCTCCAAGAGGACCATGACATCAGGAGGCGATGATTTGCAAACAAATTGGATTTAAGTGAGGCAGGGCTGTGCAAAGTCACCAGCCTCACTTTATCCTCTGGAGCCATCTGGGTGGCCAGATATAGATCAGGCTGACTGGAGATGGCCCCACATGCTCATGGTGAGTAGATGTGACACGACTGAAGAGCCAGGAAACAAGACTGAGGAGTGGCCAGATGGGAAGGAGAAGAGCCAAGAGGGCATGAAAATCCAGAGAGGAGAAAGTGTCCAGGAAGACTAAGCGATCAACGAGACTGAATGCTACAGAGCACTCTCAGCCACACCAATAGAGAAAAAGGCACTGTTGAGATCGGGAGCTCTACAGCACTCACCTGGGGCCTAGATTAGTTATTAGCAAAGTCAAGAACAGCCACAGGGACTGGCACAGCAACTTTACTTAGCTCCTAATAATCATCAGTCACTAGCTACCAACTGCTTTCTTCCTGAGCCAAATATGGTTACCATAACAGCAATTTGTATTGCTAAAGATTGCCATTCACTTTATCTCTATCAACAAGGAGATGCCTTTCATCCCCTCTGGGATCTGGTGTTGTTTAATATTAGCTATGTGGCATGGCTGAGGCAACTCCAAGGGTTTCGATTCAGCTCCACCTGTGACAACTAGCACAGAAGTGGTCGTAATCATTGGACATGTTCAAGGACTTACACTATCTACTTAGCTTGTTATAAAAAAACACAGCTGTGACCTGGATAGAGGTCTCTTACCTACTTCTCCATGAATAAACAAGGATGTCCTTGCTTTGGCCATCTGTACTCCAAAGTTTTTACTTAATGGAAACTAGGGTACCCCAAAGGACCTGATGTGGTTTAGTGGTTTGGGGGTGCTAGGACCCCAACATCACAACATGTGGGTTCTGCCCAAAAGAATTCGACTCAAGCCTTCTTTCAGCCAAAGACGAGGTTTATTAGAACATCCGTCACATTGGCCAGACTCTTAAGGAGTCTGAACATTAGAAAGCTATTGGCTAGATTATAAGAATCTGACGAGTGGCTAGATTTTAAGAATCTAAGCATCTTAATGGAGACAAGATGGGGGGCAGCTAGGTGGCGCAATGGATAGAGTACTGGCCCTGAAGTCAGGAGAACCTGAGTTCAAATCCAGCCTTAGACCAAACACTTGACACTTACTAGCTGTGTGACCCTGGGCAAGTCACTTAACCCCAATTGCCTTAAAAAAAAAGAGAGACAAGATGTACCTTATATACAGAAAGACTATGGGAGGGATCTAGGAGTGGCCAAGTAGTCTATGAGGTAACAGAACTCCAGGGGTGGCCAAGGGAGAATGGAGTCTAAATAGGATTAAGGGTGGGAAGTGGCCTGGGGCCATAGGGAGGTATGGAATCATAGCCTCAGGAGAAGGCCAGAGATTTGGCCATGTGGGAAAGTCCAGGGTTTTTCCTTTTTGAGGTCTAGATCCCATCCTCATCATTCCCCATCTCAAATTAATGGGACTCATTCTTTTGGTGTAAGGGGCAAAGTTCTCATCTTCTGAAACTGCTTCCCACTGGCAAGGGGTATAGAGCTGTCCCTGCCTCGAGGAGGTCCCAAAGAGGAGTTTGACTGGAACTGAGCACAGGCTGCATCCAGGGAACAATAGACATTGGCTGGTACCTGCTGTTTGCTACCAACTGTAGGTGAACTGTAGGGGTAGTCTGGAAGACATAAATCTGACAGAAAAGACTGCAGGGCCAAAATGACATCCTTAGCTCTGTTTGGAAAACTCAGTTTTCCAAACATGCAATTATCAAATCCACCTCATAGCCAGACTCAGGAATAGCCACTTCCTTTTCACAGCAACATAATGGGGAAACTGAGCCAGAAGGATCCCATCTTAGACTAAAATTGTCCTCTCAGCTTTTCCCAATGCTGACTTCCCACCAGTATTACCTTCTCTGAGTAGCTTGGGGCATTTCTCTCAGATGATGGATTATTGATTATCAATGGATTATGATCCATCAGACAACTCAAAATAAAATCCTGGGAGCTTTTACCTCAAACAACAAGTTTCATTAATCACAGCTTAGGAAAAACTTTTCCAGGATTTACATCTCAAACTTAAATTTGTGCTGGTGTAAAAAGCCAATCATTAGAGATTCTATACTCAGCAAGCCATACATAACCCAAACAAGCTTTTTGGCTAGTTTACACATTAAAAACAATAACCAACAACAGTTAAATTATTTTAGCAGTAACCAAATCATGAAAAGTTGCTTGACATAACCGATACAAGTTCATCCATTTGAAACTTGAAACAAACCCATTACCAATCATGTGACTCCAGTTTTGTTAAATTGTTAAATTCATTTCCAAATTACTTTACACAGATAATCAACATCTCATCATTAACAGTTAAAACTAAACTTTAAAAGAGCGTGCTTACCCAAGTTAGGATGCCAGCTTCTTTACCTTGAGCAGGATGTGCTGAATCTGAGTGATGCTTCCAGGCAAAGGCTGCCCCAGGACCCAAGGCCATTGCCAGGGGGCCCATGCTGTAGCTGCTGCCCCTCCTCCCTCCTTCCTTTCCCAGGTGGGGGAGAGCAAAATCAAAGGTAAGGGGTAAAGGGTGAAACTCTCTTCTCTTATGAGAGGGGTTAACAGATACCCACTTGACTCAAGGGAAGGGAGTGGGAGAAAGGAGTCACTAGAGTTGTAAGGAGGAGTTTCAAAATAATCAATCACAAAACCTCCAGAATCTGCCAAGACATTTTTAGCTGTTCTAACTTTTCCCTGTAACCTCCATGAAGGAAGACTCAGGGGTGTATAGGGAAGGGAGTAAGTAAGCCTCAAGGACACAAAAGGCAACTGCAGTTTTCTCAATTCCCTAGCACCAAGAGAACTGACAGAATTGGGCATAGGCTTCTGGATAGGAAATCCATCCTTGTCCTCTATGCTGCAGAAGGTGTGCCCAGGTCCATGGTCTCGAACTGACCCAGTGACCCGAGAGCCTGAGAACATCAGGCTGAGTGCGAGACAGCTTCGTAACTGTCTGCCCGAAAAGCACCTCCAAGCCTTGGTGCTTAGAGAGTCACCCCAACTGCAGAACAAGAAAGGAGGTGGGGGTGGGGGGGCTTACATACCTTTCAGTCTTGGCTGGAGAAGAACTTGGGGTTAGGCAGTTTCCCCATATGGGCCACCAAAATGATGTGGTTTAAAGGTTTGGGGGTGCTGGGACCCTAATATCACAACACTCGGGTTCTGCCCAAAAGAATTCGACTCAAGCCTTCTTTCAGCCAAAGACAAGGTTTATTAGAACATCCGTCATATTGGCCAGACTCTTAAGGAGTCTGAACATTAGTAAACTATTGGCTGGATTATAAGAATCTGACCAGTGGCTAGATTTTAAGAATCTAAGCATCTTAATGGAGACAAGATGGACCTTACATACAGAAAGACCATCAGAGGGATCTGGGAGTGGCCAGGTAGTCTGTGAGGTAATAGAACTCCTAGGCTGGCCAAGGGAGAATGAAGCCTAGATAGGATTAAGGGTGGGAAGTGGCCTGGGGTCATAGGGAGGTAGGAATCATAGCCTCAGGAGAAGGCCAGAGATTTGGCCATGTGGGAAAGTCCAGGGTTTTTCCTTTTTGGGGTCTAGATCCCATCCTCATCAGACCCACTGAGGGTCCTCTGGTATAACAGTAACTTGGCTTCCAGTATTCAGGAACTCTTTACACATTTAGTGCCACCCAAGTCACTGGACATAGGGCTGCTATTCCCTCAGTTAGAATAGTTTAGGTCTTGGGGGAACCTCAGTCCTTATCATACAAGAAATCATCCCAAGAGTTGCTCAAGTCTAGATTACAAAGATTTAGGAGTCTTGGAACAATTTGGAGGTGGGGAGCACTCAGGCATATCCTAAGTTTAGGGGAATCAGAAAGGTCCATAGTGCTCTGATCCTGGATAGCAAGTTACAGTTTTACTAACACCTTCACTGACTGATGATCAGCTATCCCAGGGTTCAAGAGACACACCTAACGTTTCCAATGGAAAAGGGTATCACCACCCTCTGCCTACCTAACACTCTGACAGGTCCAGTGTCTCCTCGCATTATTCCCAGAATGCTTACTGATGTGGGTAACTGCATTTACTATGACAGCTTCCATCTGGATCCCACACTTGAATTGATAAATAGGTCAGCTCAGGCCTAGGAGGTAATGTCGCAAAGGAGTTAAAACCTGACACCCTTAAGGTGTGGCTTGCCCTCCACCTAAGTAGGGCCCCAGATGTAGGCTAGTCAGAGAAAGTGAGAGACCTGGGCAGAGCATAAAGCCAGTTCACCAAACCCAGGATCTGGCACTCAGCAGGTGCTTAATAAATGTTTATTGATTGATTGATGCACCACTGCACAGGAACTGTCCTCCCCTTCCCCCCCAAATGAACAGCTCAGCTATGACTCCCATCCTCCTGTTTTTCACTCACTCACCTAGACAGGGATCACTGGGGTCCTTTCCCTCCAACATGGATGGTGATTCTCCTCTTTCCAACTGGAAGATCACATCTGGTTTAGACACCTGAATCCCTGTTTATGGAGTGAGATGTGAAAAAGTACATTGGGCAGTTATCTCAGAATTCAAGCCCAGGCTCTTCTGAGAGACCTTGGTTCAAATTTCACCTAATCCTTCTTAGCTATATGATTTCACTTAATCACTTTCACAAGTGATTATGATTTCACAAATCACTTAGTCTCTTTGGGACTCAGTTTCCTCACTTGGAGAATAGGGATAAAAGGACCTACAGAACCTACCCTACAGGGTGGCTGTGAGGACCAAATGGGATAAGGAATACATAGAATGCTTTCCAAACTTCAGAATTTCACAAAAATGTCTGCTGGCATAACTATTAGTATTTTTCCAAGTCAAGGAGAAGGTGTACTAAGAAGACCCAGCAGGCCACATACAGAAAGGAGCTTTGTAGTATTACCTGTGTATTTTAGCTATGTTTCAAGGCATTGATTTTCTGTCTCCCCCACCCCCATTCCAATCCCTCTTAATTCTAGTGTCTCTCCTCTGTTAACTATCTCCTCTTTATCCTGTATATAGCCGGTCTGTTTATATGTGTTTAAATGTTGTCTCCTCTGTTAGACTGCAAGCTCCTTGAGGGCAGGGCCTGCCTTTTGCCTCTTTTTGTATCCCCAGCACTTAGCACAGTGCCTGGCACTTGGTAGGTGCTTAATACATGTCTGCTGACTGGCCATGCCTAGAATGCCCTCACTCCTCAGCCCTACATCTTAGAATCCCTGGCTTCCTTCAGCTCAGCTCGAATGCTAACTTTGCTAGGAGGCCTATCCGCATTCCCACAGCAGCTGAAGCCTTCCCCTCTAAGGTTATCTTTCATCTTCTGTGAATCTATGAATCTTGTAGATATCTACTTATCTGCATGCTGTCTACCTTCTTAGAAGAGAAGCTCCCTGAGGGCAGGGACTATTTTGGTCTTTCCCAAACCAGCCCTCACCTGGACAGAACCCATCCCGTAGCCATCACGTAACTCACTGACTGATTATGTGTGATGGAGTGGGAGGAGAAAGTGAGGCTAGTGACCTTGTACAGCCCTCTCTCACTTAAATCCAACTCACCTGCATGTCATGATCATGGGGTATGGGCCCAAGCCAAGAACTCTGCCCCTCACCCCAAAAAGAATTTCAATCCCATTTGTCTATGGGCCCCAGAAAACCCTTAAACTTTCCTCGAACTGCTTACTTGGTCAAAGAGGCTATAATCCACTCAACTGGCCTTTTCTTATCTGTCTAGGCCCAATCTCCCAATTCTTTGTTATCCTGGGAGGATTAACAGGAAAGCTGCCTCTTGCTGTGGCTGAAGGGGACCAATACAGGGTAGGAGGTGTTCTGGCAAGCCAACAGCAAGCCCCACCTCAGTGAGCCAGCTGGAGACCCTTAGCCCCAGGGAGGTGTATCAGGCAAAAGCCAACACCACAACCCCCTGAGAGCCTTGGCACAGCCGGAGGAACCGGCAGACACCAGGGCAGAGAACCACCACTCGTGTGGCGGATGGGCACCTACAGGTGGCTGAGCCTGCCCATGCTCTAGCACAGCCCTGGGTGAGGAGGTGACCTCCAGTGCTAGACCACCCCCACTCCCACGCCCCACCCCACAAGATTCAGTATCCGCCTGGGGAAACACTGAAAACCCCACCTGGCCTTGGCACTCACCAGCCACCACCACCAGCTCCAGCTCAGCAGGAGGTAAGCTACATCCTCTAGAGCCTCCAGCTGCCAGAACCCGAGGCCCCAGCACACAAAGCCAGTAACCAGGCCCCTAGCCCCCAGCACAGGATGTATGGGACAGTGCCATGCCCAAGAAGCAGAGAGCAACTTCAAAAGCCAGGAAAAAGGCAAACACCATCAGTAAGAAGCAACATCGAAAAACAAAGACCCTAGACTCTTACTATGGGGACAGGGAAAATCAAGGCAGAAATTCAGAAGAGGACAGCATTGTTAATATACCCACATCTGAAACCTCAAAGGGGAATATGAACTGGTCTCAAGCCCAAAAAGCCTTCTTGGGAGGACTCAAGAAGGATTTAAAAAGTCAAATAAGAGAGTAGAAGAAAAATTGGGAAAAGAAATGAGATGTATTCAAGAGAGAGTCAATAGTTTGGAAAAGGAAGGACAAAAATTGATTGTGGAAAACAAGTCCTTAAAAAACACAATTGGCCAAATGGAAAAAGAGGTACAAAAGCTAACTGAAGAAAACAATTCATTAAAAATTAGAATTGGGCAAATGGAAGCTAATGACTCAATGAGACATCAAGAATCAGTCAAACAAAATCAAAAGACTGGTAAAATTGAAGAAAACACAAAATACCTCACTGGAAAAACAACTGACCTGGAAAATAAATCTGGGAGAGATGACTTAAGAATTATTAGTCTACCTGAAAAACATGATGAAAAAAAGGGCAGGAGAGAAAAAAGAATATTATAGCCAAATTCCACAACTTTAAGATCAAGGAGAAAACACTGCAAGCAGCCAGAAAGAAACAATTCCACGGGGCAGCTAGGTGACACTGGATAGAGCACTCGCCCTGGATTCAGGAGGACCTGGGTTCAAATCCGACCTCAGACACATAACACTTACTAGCTGTGTGACCCTGGGCAAGTCACTTAACCCCATTGCCTAGCCAAAAAAAAAAAGAAAGAAAGAAAGAAAGAAAGAAAAAACAATTCCAATATTGTGGAACCACAGTCAGGATTATGCAGGACCTTGCAGCTTCTACATTAACAGATAAGAGGGCATGGATTATGATATTCTGTAAGGCAAAGGAGCTTAGATTACAGCTAAGAATCAACTACTCAGCAAAATTGAGCATAATCTTTTAGCCAAGGAGATGGTCATTCAGTGAAATAGGGGACTTCCAGACCTTCTTGATGAAAAGACCAGAGCTCAATGGAATCTTCAATCTTCAACTACAAGTCTCAAGAGAGGCATAAAAAGGTAAAAAGGAATGAAAAAAAAAACCCCCAAAACAAAAACATGTTATTCAGTAAGGGCAAACTGTTTACTTCCCTAAATGGGAAAATGATACTTGTAATTCTTGAGAAATGTATCTTTATCACAACATTTAGAAGGCATATACATAGTCAGAGGGTGTGGGTATAAATTGACTTTGATGTGATGATAAAAAAAAAACCCAATTAAGGGATGAAAAGGGTACATTGTAATGGGAGAAGGAGAAAGGAGGAGGCAGAAAAAGGTAAATTATATCACATGATTTATCACATGAAGAGGCAAAAACATTACAGTAGAGGGAAAGAAGGGAGGGAGATGAGCATTGTTTGAACCTTACTCTCATCAGATTTGGCTCAAGGAGGGTATAACATAATCAGTTAGGTATAGACATCTAACTTGCCCTATAGGCAGCAGGATGGGAAAGGGGAAAGAAAAGTGAAAGGGTGGTTAGAAGGGAGGGAAGAAGTAGTAAAGGAAAAGGGAAAGAAAAGGGAGAGAGCTGATAGAAGGGAAGGAAAATTGAGGGAGGTGTTGGTGAAACCCAAAACTCTTTGGAAGAATGAAAAGGAGAAAGGAGAAAGAAAAGCATAAATGGGGGATGGAGTGGGGGGTGAATAGGAGGGAAAGAAAGACACAGATAGTAATCATAAGTGAATGTGAATGGGTTGAATTCTCCCATAAAACGGAAGTGGATAGCAGAATGGATTAAAAACAATAATTCTACAATATGTTCTTTACAAGAAACACATTTTAAACAGAGGGATACACACAAAGTAAAGGCAAAATGCTGGAATAGAATATATTATGCTTCAGCTGAAGTAAAAAAAAAATGCAGGGGTAGTAATCCTGATCTCAGACAAAGCAAAAGCAAAAACAGAGCTAATTAAAAGAGATAAGGAAGGAAATTATATCCTGCTAAAAGGCACCATAGATACTGAAGTAATATCATTACTAAACATATATGCACCAAGTGGTATAGCATCCAAATTCTTGAAGAAATTAAGAGAGTTACAGGAAGAAATAGACAGCAAAACCTATACTAGTGGGGGACCTCAACCTCATCCTCTCAAAACTAGATAAATCTAACCACAAAATAAACAAGAAAGAAGTTAAAGAGGTGAACATATTTTTAGAGAACTTAGATACGGTGGACCTGTGGAGAAAAATGAAAGGGGATAAAAAGGAATATACCTTTATCTCAGTGGTATATGGCACCTATACACAAATTGACCATGTACTAGGGCATAAAAACTTCACAATCCAATGCAGAAAGGCAGAAATATTAAATGCATCCTTTTCAGATCATGATGCAATAAAAATTATATGTAGTAAAGGGCCATGAAAAGATAGACTGAAAATTAATTAGAAATTAAATAATCAAATCCTAAAGAATAAGTGGGTCAAACAACAAATCATAGAAACAATCAATAACTTCATCCAAGAGAATAATAATCATGAGATAACATACGAAAACTTATGGGATGCAGCAAAAGCTGTTCTTAGGGGAAGTTTTATATCTCTAAATGCTTACATGAATAAAATAGAGAAAGAGGAGATCAATGAATTGGGCATGCAATTAAAAAAGCTAGAAAAAGAACAAATTAAAAATCCCCAATTAAATACCAAATTAGAAATACTGAAAACCAAAGAAGAGATTAATAAAATTGAAATTAAGAAAACTATTGAACTAATCAATAAAACTAAGCTGATTTTATGAAAAAAACAATAGAATAGATAAACCTTTGGTTAATTTAATTTTAAAAGAAAGAAGAAAACCAAATTACCAGTATCAAAGATGAAAAGGAGGAATCCACCACCAATGAGGAGGAAATTAAAACAATAATTAGAAACTATTTTGCCCACCTGTATGCCAATACATTTGACAATCTTCATGAAATGGATGAATATTCACAAAAATATAAATTGCCCAGATTAACAGAAGAGGAAGTAAAATACTTAAATAACTCCATCTCAGAAAAAGAAATTGAACAAGCCATCAATGAACTCCCTAGGAAAAAATCTCCAGGGCCAGATGGTTTTTCAAGCAAATTCTATCA